AAATGATGAAGCCTTTAGATGAAAGCAGCACCTTTTCCCCAGAAAAATGAACATCTTTCCTTATTCTGTCAGCATGTTTTCTGTTAGTAAATATCTGGCTTGGTTGGCATAAGTTGCCCTTGAGATCATCTTGAATAAGATTCGTCCCATTCTACATATTGCTGAAGTCATTCCCCTTCATTTAGATAAAATTAGTGTATCATCTTCTGAGGGGTTGTGGTGCTAACAGAGGAAATGGTCATGTGTTCACAAATCAGCAAAGTCTGGGTATTAGTCAGATTTCTGTCCCAGAGTGCTGCAGTGTTTCAGCTTTTTCTAATATGTATCTCATAATTGCTGTGTTTGAAAAGTGGATTAATTGTGAAAAATTAAAAATAATTTCCCACTAAAATGACTTTCAGCTGCTAGTGGTTCTAGTTCCAGAGTCTGGGAGAAAGAAGGTAAAAAACTAACCCTACTGCCTTTATCCTTCAAAAACCTGCTACAAAAGGGAGTTAGGCACTTCCCAAAAATATTTTTGTGGATCCAAACCTTTTCCAGCTAAATAACTCATCCCTTTGAAGAATGCCTTGGTGACCCTCTGTGGCTTTCCTACTGCAGAACCTTGTACTTATTTTCTGCTGAACAGAGCAGAAAAATAGCTCAATTTGGAAGATAGAAAACCGTCTAAATAAACCATGCTTCAAGAGCATGACCCCATTTCTTCTCAGTACAATATCATACTCTCTTAGTGGAAGCATTCTGGTTTCAACACAGTTGTGTTCATTCTTGTTCCTGGTAGTGGAAAGAAAACCTTGAAAGCACATATACCTCATAATAATTATAAAGCCTTCTTTGCAAACCAATGAATCATAAGCAGGATACTGACCATACAGTGACTGCACATCTTTCCCGACCCCTGAGACAGCAGTGAAGTAACTCACCTCAGTTTCACTTATTTTGAAAGAATTGCAACAAAAGCTCAGAAAGGAACTTAAATTCCAAATGAGAACTTTAACTAAAGTTTTAAATCCAAACTTCCATGGCCTTTGGAGAAATCTGGATTTGGATTGATTATTATTTCTTTGGTGGCAAACTCAGAATTCTGTTCTGCCTCATAGAAAAATATATACCACTGGTGGGGTTTTATTATGGTTTTTTATTTCTTTTTTTTCTGGTTGGTTGGTTTGGATTTTTTTTGGTCTTTTGTTTTGTTTTGTTTCTTCAATTGTATTATCTAAGATGTGTCTAATATTCATGGGCTTTCTCTTCCTGGTTCTTCAAAAAGATTTCCAATCTACTTTCTTGAGTTTCCATTTAAAGCATTGTAAGTATTAAGACAATAGAAATCTGTTGACATTACTGAAATAACTTGAAGACTGGAAAAATTTGTGTTCATGTTCTTTCAGACAAGGAGTGTATTTCTTTCTCAGTTCAGTGGGAAGGCCTAAAACGACTTCATTTTCCCAGGATGGAGGCAGGGTTTTTGCTGTGATCAGATTTTTCTCACTGTTCTCCAACATTTTTTCATATATAGGTAAAGCTGCCAGTAGTAATTTAAAGTCTTCCATTTTCGTTAGAGAAAATAATGAATTATTGCACAATTTTTATGGCTCAAATAATGTATCAATTTAATGTGTATCTGTCCCTCAGGTAGGCATGGTAACAAACATATGGGGGTAAAAACAGCTCAGAAGTTTTTGCCATTTATTGCTGAAACTGGAGATAGAATGCATAACTAACAAACTGTGACTTGCAGAGCAAAACCAGTGTATGGACATTTTTTATTAACAAAACACTGATGCTCTTTAAGTTCACAAGTTCACATGTGTTCTGTTTGTGCTATAGGTATTACTAAAAGTGTTTCAGATTTTTGGGTTTTTTAAACAACCAAGCACTTTTGTTTATGATTTTAGTGTTATTAAGGTGATAAAATATTTATTACAAGATATTTGCTATATATATAAGAAAATTGAGAGCTTTGATGCTGAAAAATTACTAAACATGAAAATTTCTTAAAATATATTTTATGAACTACAGATCAAATAATGAGGAGACTATTTTATTTTTTTGCACCCAGGATAATTTCTAACCCATTTTAAACCCAAACATTTTTATTATTTGTTTTAACTCCAAATTAACTGTGCTTTAGCCTAGTGTGGATTAAAGTCACAGATGTAATCAACAGGATGTAAACTGCGGCCACAGATATGGGACTTTTAAGTGCTAAGCACCACAGACATGCCCCTGACTTGTAATCACATGTTTAATTTTTAACAGAGAGAGGAATTAAACCATCTATTTGACTGTCAGGATTGGATTTGGAGTATTTTGCAGATTTCATATTTCAGGCCTCAGACTGCATGCATTATGTTGTAAAAACTCGAGGAAAAGTATTTTTTCTGGTAAAATGTGCTTCGCAGTGTTGCTTTATGCTGTGGCGCAGTTACCTAGGAAGGGAATGGATGTGACAGTTCTACTTACAGCTTTACCCTACTTTGTCAAGGCATGTTATTTATTTATTTGGTCTTAAAACTTTCCGTTATAAAGACCTCAAATAACTAAACACAGACTGCATAGTACTGAAATCATGAATGTTGAAGGTTACTTGTGTAATAAACATCAAAGCTGTTAGAATCAGAAATTAATTGTGCATTCCACCACACATGCCATCCAGTAACTTTAGTTCTGGCTATAGGTACCATGTTTGCCCTTGAATAAGTGGAAAGGTCTTTTTTGCTATTGAACTGCTGCAATTTCCCCATCAAACACCCTCATCTAATCCCTCAGCTTTTCCCTGCCTGAGATCCAGGTTTTAGTGTTTTTTTACTTTAACTTACCCATAACTTCTTCATTATTTCTATTTGTACTTGGAGCATGGTAATAACATATCTTCTGGTATGAAATGTATTTGGATTAAATGTTTAGGCTAGTGAAAGGTAATGTGAGCACTCTGCATACTCTTTTGCTATTCTCTCTCCTACGTTAAAGAGACATTCTTGGGAAGGGCTATTCACTAGCAACATGAGATGCATGCATTACTGTCTCATAATATATCAAAACTGGTTGTGTTATGGAAAGGATGCAGAAATAACCTCCCACTTTAGTTTTTTTAAAAATGCATGGCTGACTTGATGACCAAGACTAACATTTATCCTGTAGTTCATGTGTAAGCCAAGCTACGTGAGCTATAATTCATCCCAGAAATATTGCCCAAAAAGTGGTGTGAATACCTGGTGAAAATCACAGTAAAATTGGGTATGGTCACAACGCTTGAGAATTTACAAATTTCCCTGGTGATAATTTTCATGTTAGTGATACATGTTGAGAAAAACTTCAGTATAGTTTTCAGAATGCCTTTGGTTCTTCTACCAAGAAAAGGAGATTAATTGGTACAAGAAGGAGTGGATGGCAGCCCAAGTCTCTGGGGTCTGTAGCTACTTCCCGGGAAAAAAACAACAGCCATGGGCTAATCTGATCTCTTGTCAAGCAGAGAGAAAGGAACAAGCTTTGACTCAAAGAAATGTAGAAAGCGTGCATTGGCTCCTCCTCAAATTCCCTGGGTTAAAAACTGAATGTTCTAAAGCTTGATAGTTTTGGTTTTCTCTTTCAAAAATTTTTCAAACTTTATGGTCATTTGAGAAATCCTAAGTTCACTCACTACACTGAATTTTTTAAGGCATAGACTCATTAAGGTCCCCCTAACCATCCTTTTCTCCAGGCTAAACATCCCCAACTCCCTCAGTTGCTTCTTACAGGATTTGTACTCCACACCCTTCTACAGTAACATTGCTCTTCTCAGGACTCGCTACTGTTTCTAACAGAAAATACATTTCTTGTGTTTAATTTTGTTTGCATTTGTTTTATATATTGGCTTTTTTGTTTGCTTTTCTGCTTCCTAGCTCTGAAATGTAATTCTGAATTGGATAGCTATTCCCCAGGGAAAGTAATTAGTCTCAAGTTAACAGCATTTGTACTTGACCCATAAGTATTATTTTCTTATTGTGAAAATGAGTAAGAAAAAGAAGTAATTCATAGCTATTTCATTATTTATTCTTGAAGTTGTAGCGGAAATGCAAATTGTATTTCTGAACACATTTTTTAAAAAATACTGTAGAATGTAGAATATGGCTGTGATGACTGCTTTTTTTTCAAATACAGTTGTGCATTTTACCTTCGAATGCAGATTTATACAAAGCAAACATGGTAACATATCTAGGGTTGGGTGCCTGTTTTCAAAAAATTTCTTACACTGTTTAATTAACCATTCTTATTTCTGAAATAAATCGCTCAAGTCACTGTAGCAAATAACTGGAACAGTTTATCAGCATTCTTTGAAGTACTATTGCTTCAAGCATGTAAAGCTAATGAATCTGCCTCCTAAAAAATACATTTCTAGTGGTTGGGGGAGCACCACTTGTTTTTTTAAAAATTTTTTTGCATTGCAATTGATATCTTCCAGGCTAATGGTACCAGCAAGTGAGGAGCTGAGTTTCTGGTGTGTTAAACAATCTTAGGTCTAAAGATCATATGAAAAGCAAGTATTGCAGCTTTTATAATTACAGTTTTACAGATGGGAAAATTTTTTTTGTTTATATTGGGTGCATTTTTGAACTAACTTCTGTAATTTTACTTGAATTGGTGTTTTGATGAGCTTGGAAATTGAATATCCAGATTTATTAATAGGAAGAGTTATGCTGCTGTCTTTTACTGCTAGCTTTGGAGGAAAAAAAAAATTGATTCTTGAATTGATTTCTGTTCACAAATGTGCTGTGATATGATGGCAGATGACCAAATCAAAATCATCATAAAATCAAGACAGAATGTATAAAAGTACAACAAAAATGTACAGATTTATTCCATGTAATAGTATGTAGCTGCTAACTCTTCAGTAAACCCAGCTGGTCTCAAGCATCACTACACCTAGAAACTTATAGGTAAGCCTATATATGAATTATCTGGATGAAAAACCAGAACACTTTGCCAAGACTGCATTTGCAAAAAATGCACCAAAACCCCAAAAAACCAACAAACCACCAAAAAAAACCCAGTAGGGAGTACAAAATGTATGTGGAATGTGAGTCACATCACAGTTGTAAAGTAGACTCTATGTGTGGTCTGAGTTGAAGTAGAAACACAAAATACAGTGACAAAGGAGGCAACATTTCTTTGCATGTATTTTTTAATGCTTCCAAAAGTTCTGAATGTATAGCAATGCTAAAGATTAACTGCTGCTAGAATATCTCTTGAGATGACTCAAAAGATATAGTATGGAATCTTAAATGCAGAACAGAAACAGGGGAAAACTTGAGCTTTCTTCTCACATCCTTGTCTCCTCCAGTGGTCTGTTCATGAAATCTTGGATTGCCTGGTGTAGGGGTAACCATTTATTAATTGAAGCTTTCAAAGCTGTAATCCACCTAGAAGAAATTAAAGACCAACAATTGTCCCTGATCAAGTGTTATGTATGCATTTCTCTGCCCTTTGAGACACAATTTTAGTAAGTGGAATTCAATTCTATTACTATGTCTACTCATAATCAGTGGATTGGAGAGATGCAGAAGGTGGAGGAGTTTGCTACAAAAACAATATAGCTTAACAGCAATTTTCCAACATACTGAAAAGCTTTGTCTTCTATTCATTAAATTAAACCTAGGTAGTGTAATTAATAGGCTTTAGGTAAAAACCCCTAAAGATGTTGGAATTTGACTAGATTTACTAGATTTGAGGGAATTTACCTTCAGAATGTGTTTCCATTGCCCAATTTGCTTAAATTAATTAAATTACAATGGTCATTGATCAAAGTCAATAATTCTTCGGAATGAGAAGGATATACACTCCACTTTCACTAATGAGAAGTGCCATAGCTTTTGTGTTCAGTACAATCACCCACACATAATTGTGAAAAACACCTTATCCAGGTTTATTTCCAAACCTCTGCAAGCCAGCCTTGCTGTTGTTCCAGCATTGAAAAGAACAGAACTGATGACTCACATGTTACAGGATATGTTTTACTGCAGTTTGACTAAGGCTACTGCTAAAGGGAAATCTAGGGGGAAAAGTAAAAACAGACTGCAAAGTTGTCACTAGATCTTCCCAAGCTACAGAGTTCCTGGTCTCCTAACGTCTGGTAAATAAACTGGGAAAAAAAGACAAATTAAAAATATTTGGTTTACCTTTTGTTTTCATTTACATTCTCTGCACATAAGTAAAAAGTTTTAAATTCTTCGGATGGAGGTTTGAGTTCAATGACAGATCTCTTGGAGCCCAGGGACTGCTCACTCACAATGTAGCCCTGCAGGTAAAGGCCACCTGGATAGAATAAAATAGTTTGCATTATATATATTGCAGATACCATTGATAGAATTACTGCCAATTACAAGCATACCAACAAATCTGGCAAACTGGATTTTCAGATTGGTGTCTTCACAGAGTTTTATATACTTTATATTTAAAAATCTGAAAGTACTGTTTCTTTTATGAAAATTGATCTCAACAATGTTAAACAGGCTTCTTATCTATCAAATGATGAACAATAAAGATTTACTTAGCTTTTCATTAAATAGGACATGGTGAAATATTTTTCCTAGTTTTTGACTGCCATTAATGAAGCTGCCTCTAGCTACTGTAAAGTTCTTTGGAAGAGGCGCTCTTGTCACTGATACTTTCTTTCTTATTCTTTAAAAACTAAACGGATATGAATTTCAACGTGAAAAATAACGTGCCTAAAATCAGTTTTGGTTACTGCTGCTGCCGTTAGTAACTGAGGTGTCATGGCAGGCCACATTACCCGGCTGTGAAGGAGACGCATTAGACAGAACTTGATCTTCTGGGCATTTTCATTTTAACTGTTTTTGCTTTGTTTTTTTTTTTGGTTTTTTTTTTTTTTTTGCTTCAGACTTTACGGCAGTGCAATTTAAGGTGTAAGTTCACTGAATACATACATGGTAAATAGTCAGAAACATCTGGAGAAAATGATCTTTAATTTTAGGGAGTCTCATATTTAGGCACAACAGCACCAAATTAATGTTCTAGCATTGAGAATGATATAATAGAATGAGAATATGTGGTGAAAATGGAAAAGAAATGCACTAACAAGAAAAAAATGCTCTCATATGGAAGAATTTTTATGTGGTAGGATATTTAAGCACCAAAAGAAAATATTTGGCAGTGGGAACATAAGCTTCGGGGTCATAAATGCATAAAACCTAATTTCTGGATTCCTGATAATTCATTGTTTTTCTCTGTGAAAACCTTAGCTTTGGTTTAATGTAAAGAGGAAATCCCTAGTCATTTTGTAAGTATGGCCTTGGGCAGATGAAGAGTGTAGCAGTCTGAATTGCTGCTAGCATAGTCCAGGGTAAGAAAGGAGAAAGGGCATTTGCATAATATCCACAGATGTTTTATTCAGCCACGTGGTGAGATGTTCAGGTTCCGGCAACCACACTACAGGGGCCTGGGGGCTGAGCCTGGTCTTAGGGCAGTACAAAGATGAAGGCCAATCAAGGAATAGGGAATAGGTGTGGCTCAGGAACCTAGGAATAGGGGAAGGAGCCAATATGGTCTAACAGAGCTTTTTGATGGAAGGTTCTTGCGTCTCTCTAAACCCGAGAATGCCCCCCAGGGTCTCTACAGAAGAGTGTTATGCAAATGACAGAAAGTGGAGTACCTTCTGCCTGATCATAATAGTGTAAGTGCTAAGAAATTTTTTTCCCTTTTGGTCTGAAGACTGGCTAGCGAGTAAAAAGAAAAGTATTTTCTTTCTGGTTCTTCTGACTGCCTGCTCCCTTAGCAGACGGAGGAAGCACTTACAGGTCCTCAGCCATCCCCTCTCTGTGTGTGAAGTAAGCTCTGCTTGCAATTGACCCCCGTAGCATCATTTGCTGCTTTGAAAGCAGGCAGCCACCCTCTCCTGCTGTGGCAGGAGAGATGGCAGCTTTAGCTGCAAATAGCTATGGCTGCATCCCAGACCACAGGCTCTCCAGCAGTAGGAAACTTCTGCAAATTGAGGGATGGAATAGCTTTAACAAGGTCATGTGAAAGCCTGGTAGTTTCAGGGCAACCAGTCAGAGTTCATGATATCTGTGGATACTTCCTAATACGCAGGATTTGACAGCTTTCAGGAGACTACCATCAGTGGCACTGCCTCAACCCATCATAAAGTACTTTAGAAGGGTGAATCTTGTTTCTGATAACTGCTCCTAAGGTAATGTGTGCAGAATAACTCCATTTCAGAAAGAAAAAAATAAAAATGTGGGAGGAAAAAATACTAGGGTCAGGAATTAGGTGGCTAGTGAATAAATAGAAACTGAGTCATTCACCTTCATGGAACAGCATGAATTTCCTGATAAGAAACTCCCATTAATGGTAAAAGTTCTACTTGGAAACTGCAGTGAAACATTTCTACTACAATAATAAATTAAAATCTAGCAGCCATCCCTACCTTGGGCAGGTGTAGACCGGAGAGTGGCATAAAAGTACAAACAACCATCCTTCAGAATGCAGTAGTGCTGAATCCAGACATCTTTGCTCCTGTCCAGCTGGTGGAGAAGCCCCAGGCACTCGGGGTTCTTGATAGCCAATGGTGGGAGTGTAGTGTTATGTAGTGTGACATCTACCCACACATGGTTCTGTAAAGTAAGTACGTAATGAAATGTTCTGGTAAAAAATTAAGGAGGACATGCCAGTATGAAAAGACACGAGCTCTAGTCTTCTGCTAAGAAATTACCTTTTGCTGTGAAAATCTTTTGAAAAGTTGTGCTGGCTCTGGCTGGAATAGAGTTAATTTTCTTCACCGTAGATAGTATGGGGCTGTGTTTGGGTTTTGTGCTGAAGACAGTGTTGACAACACAGGGATGTTTTATTTATCGCAGAGGAGGGCTGAACTGATCCAAGGGCTTTCTGCCCTTCACCCCACTAGTAAGGAGGCTGGGGATGCACAAGGAGTTGGGAGGGAACTCAGCCAGGACAGGTGATCTTAAGCAACCACAAGGATATCCCAGAACATACAACATGCTCAGCATATGAAACTTGGGGAAGAAAATGGAAGTGGGGAGAAGTTTAGAGTGGTGGTGTTTCTCTTCCTGAGTACCCATTGTGGGAATCCATAAAATTAGAGGGTTTTTGGAAAGTTGCAAAAGGCAAGCCTGAGAGACAGCAGAACTGTGATTAGAGCTAAGCAGCAGCCATGAGATAGGTCAGCAGAAAAGTTATTTAAACTGCAGAAAAGCAAGGACAAATAGAACAATGGTCTGTGTATTAACACTTGTCTAGAATAACTCTCTAAGCTACAGAAAAGTTTATCTAGCAAGATATTAGGAAGGTTAAAGCTTAATAATGGAGCTCTGTGCGTTGTGTTTTAAGGCTTACAAGCAGGTATTGTATTCAAAATAAGCAAGCATTGTTTTAACCAGAAGTACATGTGCTCATGGTGATTGGATAGAACTAGTGTCAATACGCTTTTGCTTTGTGTGATTGGTCAAGAAACTTATAAAGTAAGTTGTAACATTAAGTTCTTGGTCTGCTGCCTGAGATGTGAGCTGCTGGCATCTTCCCATTGTCATAACCATGTAGTGAGACTGATGCTGAAAAATAAAACAGCTCAAGGCACGTTCCACAGCAGTCCCGTCATGTTCATGATCTGTAAATAGCCCCCAGCCAGCAATACCCATAACATGTGATGAGGCCCTACTCTTCTGGGGATGGCTGAATACCTGTCCAGGCATGGGAAGGGGTGAATGAATCCCTTGGTTTGCTCTACCTCTGTGTGTGTGTTTTGCTTCACCTATTAAAACACCCTTATCTCAACCCTCTAGTCTTCTCAGTTTTAATCTTCTGATTCTTTCCCCCCCTCACACTAGGAGCTAGTGAGTGGGCAGCTGTATGGGGCTGAGCTGCTACTGGGGTTAAGTAACAACAAAATTCAATGCTGAAAATGAAATTACTGTGTATGTGATAGAAAATATCCAAATGTCTAGTGTCTTCTTAAAATAATGATTTGCCTTTTCTGCACCTATTTTATTTTTCGGTACATGTTTTTTAGGTACAAACAGGTCTACTTCACAGCTGTATGAAGTTTTTTTTAAAAAAATTGTCGCGTTGATTGCTTGATCTCAGTGGTCTTTACTCTATAAAATCTGACAAGAGGAAACTCACCATCTGCTCTTTGGGTTTCAAAGAAAATGTCATGGTGTCTGTCAGTGGGA